CAGAGCACTTTTGGTGTATGTTTGTGTAAAAGTTCTTGGATGTCGTCAAGATTCCTCAGCAGGCCTCTGACGTTCCACTGTATTACGTGTGTCATTTTAATGATGTGTGGTGCTGTGTGTACAAAAAGTGTTACTTTATGTTACAGTGCCTTTTGCGCGCCCCGTAATTCGACGAGGCGGATGGTGCCTGGTGGTGGCGGATGGTGCCTGGTGAGCAGGCACATTTACAGAAGTTTCGGACGTAACTGCAGGTTCAGTGGTCCGGGGTCGAGCAAACTCTGTCTGCTGAACCTGTTTTGCAGGAGGCGGAGCAGCACAGGCTACTACAGCCTTGAGTGCAGATGATGCTACCACGGTCACACTTTGTGTGAGACTCGCAGACGTGAGTGTCACACGCGTCTGCATATATGACGCACCCTGGCGCGTCACATATGCACAGGAAGGAGAGTGCTTGCTTGTAATGGAAGGAGAAGTGCTGGTGCGCCTCTTGAAAACACAGATTTATTTACCTTAAGTTGAAGAATTTGTTTTTCCTTTTTCTAGGATGGGCACGATCGTGAGTAAGCAGAGTCGTCTCCTTCGTGATTGGCACAGTTGGCTGCAGCAGCACAACTGTCGGATGGGTGTTTGTCGGAGCTACAGCTTGCGCAAGTCGCAGCCCTCACCAGCTTTGCGACCTGTGTCCAAAGCGCTGGCTTTCGAAACACCTAGGAGAATTTGGTATGTAGGACCTGACCCGAAGCTTGCAGTAGCCGGTTTTGATTGAATCGGTAAATTGCTAGTACCAAAGGTGATAATTATATGTCGTGCTCGTGTTTATTTTTGTCTTGTCGTATAATTTTTCTTTGATCCTTCACTACATTCTGGTCTTGCCAATCTTTGAATAATTCACTCTCTGAAAATCCAAGAAGGTCGTCATCAGAGATGACACCGCGGACTGTGTTCAAGGATTTGTGGGAGTGTACGGAAACTGGGACATCCCCAAACGCTACCAGTTTAGGTAAGTTGTCATAATGCACCTCGTCGCGAATCTCCATAAGGAAGTCGCATATAGCAACTTGGTTACACGATATCCTGGGCCGATTGCTTCGGTGAGTGTTTTCGAGACAATAAAAGCCGAGATTGCTCTAACTGACTGTTTTGTTTTTTTTCTGGCTATGCGCGACGTGAAACTTGCGGAAAGACTGCTTTAGTTCTGAAAAAAAGAATGGTTTTTTGGCGCACCACTTTTTCAGGCGGTGATTGGGAAGAGGAAGGAAAACGTTGGCCATACAGATTTTGTGAAGTTTGGTGGCGACGGTGGCCAACCACCACCGAGCCCAACAAGGGGACGCTACAAGGTTGAATAGTAAACACTTGGAGACGCCAGCTATGTATCGTCGCTATAACCGAATATAACTACCCAAGGTTGAGTACCTACACAGGGTTAACCCTCGCTGCCAGGAAATTCACAAATAAAAAAGAGAACATGACAGGACAGATAATTGTGATAGATAATGACGAAGATTTAGAGAGAGAGATAGGTAAAGTTGACTGCCAATTTCTCCTGGCTGGGTCAGCACAGGGGTGCCGTCTACGTGAACACGGGGCCGAAGGGGTGTGCTACCTCTGGCGGGGGCCCTAAAGGTCCAAGCACCCAGCGTCACCTCGACCCCCAGAATCCTCTTTTTGCCGGACACGTGCGTAGCCGTGCTCAGCCACGCACGGCTATTCTGATGAATGAAGAATAAAGGCGTGGGGGAGGTCGAACCCCACCCCCCTACCCCTGTTAGCTCGGGTCCGTGCTGTCGCTACACAAGAGATGCCTCCTTGCAAAGATGCCCCTGCAGGGCGTGAGTGAGCGTAAACCCACCTCCTCTCCGCGGGGAAAAGTACTTGTGGGAGATGAGAGAGTGCGCCACTGGCGCGTGCGGTGAGGCACTCTTGGCGACGCGCGCTCATAGTGCCATCTTGGTGGTATTGCTAAAACATGATAGTTCTCCCCTTAGATACCCGTCACTAGCAGTAAAGAGTAGATGTAAATAGCTTGCCATTCGAATTTTGAAGGAAAAGCTCCTTGGTGGCTCAGTGGTTAGCACCTTGCACTGATGTCTTGGGTGTTCCACGTTCAATTGCGCGCGCTGAAGTCCTTTTCTGCGTTACTTCTCTTTCTTACGTTTTCATATGTAGAGATACGCATAGTTACGGTGGGTCACGGTGACGCTGAAACCAGTAGCGAAATCCAGCCGAGAGTGTCTATATAATTCCTATCGCAGTAATAGCGACCACTTGCCAGTGACAAAGTAATGAGTTTGGTTGCCCCGTTAGCTTCAGAATCGAAATAACTTAAAATGAAATATTCATTTCTTGTCTCAATATTTTCTGAAGAATATACAAGCTCGAAGTCGCAAGCTGTGAGCGTCTGTTTTGTGTTAAAGATTTCCCCCAAGAATGCTGAGATGGGGTTTTTGTCTGCTAAGCAGAACTCAGTCTGACGCTCCTTGGTAGACTTATGTGTATTATAGGCGCCGTAAAGCAGTCTGGAAAAAATTACTGTTCACTCAGTGCCCTCAAAATCAAAATGGTATCATTTCTGTACGGGTACTTCTGAACGAACAGCTTAAAAAGCAAAATAACAGTACCATATTCAGAATTTCAACTATCTCTCTAAATCAAACAATAAAAACGCACCGTATAGATTACTTCGTAAAGACAAATTGATTACACAGCTTTTAAATTCAGAATCTTTTTTTTTGTGTCCACGAGAGATAAGACGCATTGGAAGTAATTGGCTGGGATTAGACCATAGCTTTTTTCCCAATTATATCCTCTTTTATTGAATACAACAATTGATGAGTAATTCACTACATTTTTCGCGAAGTGAATTATTAAAAATTTTAAATCGCCTTCCATCAGCCTCTCCAGGCCCGGACGGAGTCACGACGGTTATGCCGAATCGGCTAAGTAAATAATGGCAAGAATATTTATTCGTTGTAATTCAATAGTCATCAAGAATGGCATGGTTCTCATCAGAGTGCCAGAGAGCGAAGGTGATAGCTGTACTTAAAACTCCGGGTAATCGATTTGATTTCGGCCACATTCAGGCTATTGCGCCAACTTCAAATAAGGTAAAATTGATTAAAAAGCTTTTAAATATTCGCATCTTCAATTTCAATATTTAGCATACAAGCCTAAATTCATCGCTAATAAGCTTTAGAGCAGGATGCTTCATATGACCGGCCAACATAGACCTTGAAAGTTACGTTCAATTGGTTAGGAATGAAAGAAGTATGGTCTGTTTGTCAAACTGGGCATAGCAAAAGCATACGAAAGTGTAGAACACGTAGTTTTAATTATTCAGGTCCAGAACCTTAGCTTCCCCAAATTTAATCGGATCGTCGATCTCATAATTAAGCAATACCGCCACTTAGAAATGACCAAAAACCGCCGAGTTCGGCCTCAATTTTCGCGGCTTTCTAACCTGGCTGCCACGTTAACCTACCGATTTCGGCGCCGCATCACCCTTGCAGGAGAATGTTACGCGCACTGTTCGGTGAGAGCTTGAGGTGGCCCGTCCGGCACAGTTTCATCCACTTCCACTCGACCAGGGCACCGTGCAAACACCTCTGGCAGTGTCAGTTATTCAGGCAGTCGTCCGGCAAGAAATCGCTAACCTCGGTTTTCCTGTCGCCTGCTCCATCTCCCGATCGGACTATAGACCGGTGCCAATAAATGCCCCACGCCATGACTCATACTGTCTGCCCAGATCCCGCCATCCGATGGAATGGAGTACAGCAGAGGACAGGCCAATCTGTTTCTGCTGTCACACAGTTGGCCATGTCTCCCGCTACTGCCACAGCACTTGGGCGCCCCCCCTCCCCCTTGTTGGAGCCAATTTTCTGCTCCTCGGCCATACACGGACCGCCGTCGGTATTCGCTTAGCCGTGAGTATCCTGCTTTTGACGCACCTAAAAGCCGCTCTACCGCTCATTCACCACCGTCACCACAACGCCGCTGTTTTTCGTCGCCCCAACCCCGCCGCTATCCATCGCCGACTAACTATGGATGTTACCGGATGGCAAACTAGATAATGCAGCTACTGGAGGTAGTGCTGCCTCACGTGCGACTGACCCGAAGCTTGCCTTGACGTTCCCTACAAATAAGAACTTGCTGAAAGTGCATGTGGGCGGTCTTTCTTTGACGGCTATAGTTGACACTGGAGCTCAGGTGTCTGTAATTAGTGCTCGTCTCTGTCGCCGCCTCAAAAAAGTACTCATGCCTGTTACAACACATAAAGTCCGTGTCGCCGATGGGGGAACAGTGGCCGTCATTGGAATGTGTACCGCTCGTATTAGCCTTGCCAGCCGCCATGATCCTGTTTTATTAATCGTGCTCAACAATTGCCCTCGTGACCTCATCTTCGGGATGGACTTCTCATCGACGCATTCTGCACTGATCAACTCTTCCGCCGGCGTTCTCTGTTTAGAACTTCCTCTTCTTCCAGATTCTCGCCCCGAGTTCCCGAAAAGTCGCTGTACCACAGACTTCAGTCGGATACCGCCAAAAGCCCTTGAATTCACTGAATTGGCAACAAGTTTACCCGTTGTTGACGGTGATTATGTCGTCACGACTATTCCTGAAATTCTCCTTGCACGCAACATCACTGTGCCACACTCCGTCATAACCATGGCCCCCAACCGAACATGTCTGCCCATTATCAATTTTGGTTTCACGCAGCGAGTACTACCACACGAAATTTCAGTCGCCATGCTTTGACCTTAAAAGACGCCCACGTCATCGCTTTTGCGGCAGACGCATGCCCTGATCTCGCATGTCACCCGCAGGATGCCACATCCTTCGACGCGGCCTTGCGCCCCATGATCAACCCGAAACTCAAATCTGACCAATCTGACACCCTATACCGCCTTTTGGCTTCCTCCCGCGACATGTTCGACACCGACAGTAGCCCACTCGGTCAGCCTTCTCTAGTGAAGCACCGCATAATACTGCTGATTCTCCTCTCACTCACCGCCGCTCATATTGGATGTCTGCAATAGAGCGTAAGATAATTCAAGAAGAAGTCAACAAGATGCTAGCCAAAGGAATTACTGAACCCTTCTCGAGCGCTTGGACATCTCCTGTTGTGCTCGTAAAAAAGAAAGATGACACTTGGAGCTTCTGCGTCGATTACCGCCAGGCCAATCGAATCACGGAAAAAGACTTTTGCCCTTTGCCTCAATTGATGACGCCCTCGGTTGTCTTCATGGCGCGCGATACTTTTCTTCAATTGACTTACGTTCTGGCTATCGGTATATTGCAGTGGACGAGAAGGACCAAGAAAAGACTGCGTTTGTAACTCCCGACGGCCTATACCAATCAAGGTGATGCCGTTTGGCCTCTGCAACGCTGCAGCCACGTTTGAGCGTATGATGGACTCGCTATTACAACGGTTGAAGTGGTCAACACGCTTGTGCTACGTGGATAATGTCCTTGTTTGAGAAGCACCTCCAGCGTTTGTCAGCGGTTCTAGACATCTTCCGCACTGATGGCCTTCAGCAAAACTCGTTGAATTGTCACTTCGGCCGCCAGCAGATTACGGTATTGGGTTAGCATGTCGATGGATCAGGTGTGTAGCCTAACCCGGAGAAAATTCGTGCCGTCGCGAGCTTTCCTGTTCCCCAGTGTGTCAACGCCCGGAGCTGTGTGGGACTTTGTTCCTATTTTTAGAAGGTTCCTGAAAGATTTTGCAATGATTGCTCGACCACTGAGCGATCTTCTGAAGAAAGAGGTTACTTTTACGTGGAATTCCGCTCCAGCTGCCGCTTTTTCTCACCTCATCGCCCTACTCACGACTCCACCTATATTGACCCACCATGACCCGTCCACTCCGACAGAAGTCCCAACCGACGCGAGTGGTCACGGGGTTTCAGCCATCCTAGCCCAACGCCAGCGGGAACACGACCGAGTTATCACTTACGCTAGCCGCGTTCTCACAGCTGCCGAGCGCAACTATTCAATAACAGAGCGAGAATGTATTGCTCTTGTTTGGGCAGCCATGAAGTGCCACCCATATTTATATGGCACAGATTTCTCTGCGATAACGGACCACTATGCGCTGTGTGCTTTCGTCACTGAAGGATCCTACTGGCCGGCTCGGGCGCTGGGCTCTGTGACTGCAATAGTATACCTACACGGTGATGTACAAGTCTGGACACCTACATCAGGACGCAGACCGCCTGTCTCGCTACCCGGATGCTGAGTCGAGCACTATGCCTGACACCGACACCGACCCTTGCGTCTTTTTCCTTTCACAAATGGCATCCATCGTTGACGAGCAGCGCCAGGATGCGTCCTTGCGTGCTATCAATGAGCGCCTCGAATCACCATCTTCCAATCAGTCTCATCGCTCATTCGTGCTCCACGATGGTGTATTATACCACAAAAGTTATGAGCTAGGTGGACCGGCCCTGCTGCTTGTCATACCGAAACACCTTCGCTCAGAAGTTCTAAATGAGCTTCTTGACCTCCCGACTGCCAGTCACCTTTGTGTGTCCCACACTTACGACCACATATTCTGCCGCTTTTCTTGCCAGGGCTTGCACGCTCAGTCAGAAGATACGTTGTGGCTTGTGAGAAATGTCAGCGCCACCAAACACCATCGGCACTTCTTGTCGGACACCTTCAATCACTTGACGTTCCTTCGGAACCGTTCTTCCGCGTTGGCTTGGACATACTTGGCCCTTTCCTCTTGTCTTCCTCGGGTAACAAGAGAATAGCTGCGGGCACCGACTACGCCACGTGTTATGCAATCACAACAAGCGCTCTTCCAACAATTGGCGCCACAGATGTCACTAATTTCTTCCTTAAGGACGTGATTTTACAACACGTAGCCCCACGCCGGCTGCTTACAGACCGTGGCCACACCTTTTTGTCGAAGGTAATAGCCAACATCTTGCAGTCCTGTCAAACGACACACAAGCTCACTACGCCATACCACCCGCAAACCAATGGACTCACGGAGCACCTAAATCAAACTCTTACTGACATGCTTGCCAAGTATGTCTCTACCAACCACACCGACTGGGATCTCGCGTTGCCGTACGTCATATCTGCCTACAGTTCTTCTCGCCTTGAAACTGCCACTTACTCCCCATTTTTTTCTGTTGTTCAGCTGAGAAGCTACATTACCCCTAGATACAGTCGTTCCCTCTACCGCGACACCGACCATCAAATATGCCCTGGACGCTATCACTCGGGCTGTCCACTGCATGCGAAATCACCTGCACTCGCTTTCTGGTCTCTCAAGAGAACCAGCGGCGTTTGTACGATCAACGGCACCGCGACGTGTACTTCTTACCCGCTTCATTGGTGCTACTGTGGTCCCCGACCCGGCAAGTTGGCTTGTCGACAAAACTTCTTTCCCGCTACACAGGTCAATATCGGGTCCTTCGTGAGGTTACTCCTGTGACATATGAAATTGCCCCTGCTGCCTCACCGCCTTCAACTGCCCCACAGACCGCTGATATCACACATGTGGCACGCTTGAAGCCTTACCACTTCCCGCTGACCTTGACATCTAGATGCGCCGAGACGGCGCTTCTGCTGTCGGGGATTATGCTGCATGCATGTTGACATATTGTGAAACGACGCGCGTGTGTGCCTGACGAAGAGGACGAAGGGTGGTCTCTGCTCGGTGTCTGGTCAACCGGTCAAGCCGCTGCGGCTGGTTTGAAATATATTTCATCCACAGCCTCGTCAATACGGCGTCTATTTTCTTCAGTGAGAATATGTTAACGAGCTCTTTTCTATGACATACAGACGTACGAGCGTATTTAACATTGCATTCACTGCATCAGCCGATGATGCTCACAAGCAATACACCATATTACAGGCATACTTAACAGTCATTGAAAGTTTGCTAGATGATATGATTTAGATCTAAATATTAGCAAATACTCTTGACTGACGTTCCCATTAAGAAACCCTACATACATGATGCTCTAATACCATTTCACAAGTATTCCACATGTAGATAATTTGAAATTTAATGTGTAATATACGAACAATATATGCGTTTCATTCGCCAAGGTTCTACTCTACTATGGGCGACACATTTGCAAGCCACCAGGTTACCGAACATAACCTCGTTTCGCAGAAACTGCACGTCTGCATGCATTAGGAGGAGAGTTCTAGCACTGGTTCTATACAATGTAACGCTGTGGGTCACTATTTGAGAAAGATTGCGAGTAATGACAATCATCCCGTTTGAACACTCTCGAATGATAGCTTGCTCATAGACTCTGGAGATGTGCGCACAGCATTAAAGGGGCACCTGATTTTCAGTCATAATTTTGTATATGTGGGTTTTTTCTTGCGCACTCAGAATTAGGTTGTCGAGATTTTAGCACTTTTCATTGAGGAAATAAATACTTTTTCAGTGCATGGGTGGCATCAGCGTCGGGCAACCCTAGATACACGCAAGCCGTGACGTAACAAGGAGCTAACGGTGTGAGTGTCTGCATTCCGGTAACCTAGGGATTGTTCCGTTGTCATCTGCGCATGAAATGGTAGACATATAGCCCTCTTTAGCTTGGCACTAAGAGTGAACTTAGGTAGAAGACGATGGCTGCACTGCTTCCAGCACATCCCACGCGCCAATGGCGGAATGACCACCAGTGGGCAGGGTCGATGGCTATTCAGCCATTTTTTGCACTGAAATACTCTTTTAACGCCTAATTTACGACTTGTATAAGCATAATACATCCTACAATTCACCGAAAACCACTAATTGCTATTCACCATGCCATAACCCCTTCAAAGAGTGGAACGTGACAAACATTTGTGTCTAGCGAGAAAACCACGAGGCCATCGGCAATTAAAATGTGGACGCGTCTTGTGCGCAGCGTTGCTGTCGATCACCGCTGATGTAGCGTCAACGTTGCGAAGAGGCTCTTGCCTACACGCTACCAAGGTGCATTATCTTGTATGGCTGACTCTACATATAGAAGTGAACCCGAAAAACTCGCCACTTGCTTCTTGCTCTTCTTTTCGAGTTATCCTTACAGATGCTCTACTTTGCCACTAGTGCCTCGGCATTTCATCAGTGCTTTGCCTTCCTGAAAAAATAACTATTACTACACGTTTAAAGTTTCCGTGCCGTCTGATGATTTTACGACGAGCGTCACGCTTTTACGGTTACATTGAGGCGCTCGTTTTACTAACGTCTAGTAATAAGACAAATTCTCGTGTCATTTATTCCATAAAATCCAGTAGCCAAATGTGCAGCTGGAACCTTCTTGTTATCTGTAGATTTGCGTTTGTGGTCTCTTTTACGATCTTGACCATGGCAGCCACAATTTCAATGCAGGCTAAAGTACTTTAGGTCTGTATGCTTAGATTTAGGTGCACGTTAAAAAACCCGAAAATGTCGAAATTACGTGAGCCCTTAACTGTAACGCCTCTCATTCCAATATGGTGGTTCTGAAGCGTTAAACCTTAAACAAAATTATTATTATATCTCTCCTATGAAATCACTACCTCAGTCACACATATAGGACTAACATACTGCTTGAGCTTTGCTTTCAAGGTACAACAAAAAAGGTAGTGATTTCCCTTACCCAGCTAAGACATTATAAACTTTATTCAGGGCTAATAAAAGATCTTCCATGAAAATACTACATGACTTGGATCGTTCCTATGCTGAGTCAATGCGCTTCACATTTGCAATCCTAACGTACGAGTGCAAAAACAATACTTTGCAAGCCAGTGGTCCCACGCGCATTGGCTCATCCAGGTACATCTATCAGTGCGACTGACATCACTAAGCACAGTCATGGCATCGGCAATGACGTGTACAGTGCCCTCGAAAACAGCGTTGCCTGGCGAAAGCTGGATAGTAATCCAATAAAAATTACTCGCGTTGTGTGCGTGATCATCCGGCTTCCCGTGTATTGCCGTCACGTCCATAACTTTGAGCAGATGGTACTCGGCACACTTGCGCGTTGCCCGCGCCACCAGTCTATTGATCCAAGAGACAAGCTTGTCGGCCATTGCCAAGGCGAGCGTACTGGTGACGGTGACGTCACTGCGAACGCTGCACACGCACCAATGCGGCCCGATATGGGCATCAGCGCATGTCCTGCCCTCAGGTATCTCGTGCAGCAGGCTCCGGCCATACGTAGTCTGTGGTCTCTCGATGTTCGGATAGTCCAGGAGCTCGGCGAGCATCGCGTGGACGTCGAAGTGAGTGGTAAGGCGAAACTGATTGACGCGAAGATTGCCTGCTGCATTCGGGTTCTGCTCGAGGAACCACTGCGGAAAAGCCACGAAGGCAAAAGGCTGGCGGTCCTCGAATTTGCCGATGTACGTTGAGCGCAGATCACCGAACCGCAAGCCGTGGTCGCTGAGGAAAATGAGCACCATGTTATCGAGCGTACCAGAAGCGTGTAGCAGTTGCAGGTGCGTCAGAAAAATCTTGTCGGCGTATCTGGCGCTGTTAAGATCATCGTGCGTAAGTTCATTTATCCACACAAAAGCAAAGAAATGGTTCTTGATCTTTGTGAAGCGGAATGAATAGTCTAATATTTCTTCACATACCATCGTCGCCCCCAAGCACCGTGGCAACGGCCACTTGGATGAGTTTTCCAAGGCGATTATCGCGTGTCGGGGGTAGTAGTCGCTTGGAGGATGCCGGAATCCATTACTGAAGCGATGAAAAGTGCCGTACCACTGGCCAGTCTTCAGAGAACATTGTAAAATAGCCCCGTTTACCATACTCGTGCCAGATGATGCGCGAAGTGAGGTTGTCGTAGAATCCTTCGGACACGTACTTCTGAGTCTCGGCGTACTTGAGCCCCGTGAGGAGGGCGTGTAGGTTCGGATACGTGTTGTCCCCAATCTTATTGTATCCACGCAGTTCAAAGGCATTAAGCGTTCCGACGCATGAACTGAGACGTCCCCGGTAAGTGTCTGTCCAGATTAAGATATGAGACTGAGTCCAGGCCGAGTACCAAGATGCTGAGATTGTGCGGCGTCGTGTACTTAGTGTTTCGGCAACGCTCTTCGGCATCCCACTTGACAACCACGTTCAGTAGAAACTGTTTGTGAAATGTTTGGCTTGGTGATTGTTTTGTGGCACACTCTACATACGCGAACTCCGGTGTGAATGGCTTATCCAGCGGAAGTAGCTCTCTGTTTCCGTACGCAATAGCATCATCGGGGTTGGGATTGGATGTATTGCGCCGTATCTCCTTGTAAAAGCACAGCAAGTGCTCGGGACGTACGCTGTGCTCCTTGAGTTTGTCTTCGAGTATTACTGCGTAGCCATTTCTGCAAGAAGAAGATATCACCATTTTTAGGGTCGTATTTTGCGCCACAAGAATCACATAGGCTTGCAATAAGACCTGATGAAAGTGTGAGAAACTATGTTGCATATTGTCTAAAACCTCTTGTTCTAGCTGGCTTTGTTTGAGCCACTAAGCTATATTGAGATGCCCATTGTGAAAAAATTGCAACATGAGCAAATACTCAGGAAAAAAACACGAGACGGAGCACTTACTAGCAACCGAAAAACTTTATTTAGAAAAAAACGTTCTTATGTGCCTCACACGCATTCATGTCCTCACAAACCACGGTTGTCATCTGAAAAGCATTGTATATCTCCAATAGATCACCTAAAAAGATGACATACATCTGGGAAGGCAAACAACTCCCTAACAAGAAAGGCCCTTAATTATGTTGCAATAAAAAAAGCAAATTCAGCACCCGCTATTAGTCAGTACGCATAACTTGTGCAAGCGCGAAATGCCCGTGCGTAAGACGAGCGAAGGACACAGGATAAGCGCTACGTTTAACCAAAATTTTTGTTAGAAAGAAACACCAAATATATAAGCATAGCCGCCAGAAAGAAAGCATGAAAATTAGACATGAAAATAGACAAAATAAAAACAACACTCCAATGAAAAACCATACTATCACTATGCGGAGTCCATTTGTGACAATACGTGTCCACAAAATATTTGCACCGGTAAGAGTGTATGTGAAGAGCTTGTTGGACATCGCGCGAATAGCGTTTACAGAAATCCCACTGGCGCACAATACGTGGCTGCCTCATGGGTACACTCCAAAAAGTGAAGATCATTGCTTGTCAAGTATTTAGAGGAAGTGTGAACTACAAATAAGTCGTTCCTCTTTATATCAGTGGCCTCGGCAATCAACCTAAAGCCAATCTCTCAGTCCCGATATAGAACAACCGGGTTATCTAAAAATGATTTACAACCACAGTCTTGACAGTGCAGCGTAATACGCCCATCCGCTACTTTACACACCTTATTATGATGCTCACTTACATGAACAGTGATAAAGCGCTCCACTGGCCCTTGATAAACTCGGCCAAAAGAAAGTGGAATTCTATAAACCGTCCCCTCCGAGAAATCCACAAACTTGTTTCGATGATTAATCGCACACACCTTTCTTGGCTTTACCGGAGGTGAAGTGATAGCTAAGATAACTTCTCGGGTGCTGACATCTCAACTACAACTCTGACACGTTCAACGAATCTTTTAAGGTTGTGTGCCTTCCGACGCATGTAGTGTATCACTGTAACTTTTCTGGGCTCACCATGACTTCCGTCAACCAACTTTTAGTCGCTTCTTAGTCCCCTTGTTCACCTTTTCGGTAACCGATGTGATCAGATGTTGGAGATACCTGGCTGCCTGAAGCCTCTGCACTTGTTTGGTGAGGATTTCTTTCATGTGGTGCACGCACTACTTGTGCAAAGCGTTAATAAGACTTATCCGCCCCACTGATCTCTTAACCAATTTCATGTGCTCTGACACAAAAGGCAAGAAAGGTTTGCTAACATGTGGCTGATATGCCCAGCATACTTGCTCACCATTCATGCTGTCGAAACCTGGTTTGCGTTTCTTTCGTGGCACTGCCACAGATTCCACAAGAAGCAAAGCACCCTTAGGCAATACATGCAGACGACCCTTGCCAGGCCCGATATCATAGCGCTGCACAAGACTAGTTACTCACACAGCCTAATTAACCGGATACGACGTATTCTTGAGCCAGACAGAGGCAAAAACGAAATAAGAGCTGGACCCTGGTATCCAAAGCAATAACGACAATCCAACACCCAGCACTAGACAGTGATATCGAGCACGTGTTAACCTAGATTTCACCACAAAAAAGGTAAGGGGAGAATATTTTTTGAACGTGTACAGCCCACCTAAGCAAGGGAATCCTGATTTCGAGCCACTAGTCAAAGGAGCGAGCAAGATAGCAAAGAAAAACAGATAGGTGTTATAAGGAGACTTCATTGCGCAACACAAGTGCTGGTAACAAGCAAAAGAAAGAATCTGGCTTAAGTGTCAGCACGCGCAGTCCTCGAATTGGTCACTGACTTCATGAAGCCCACTAAGAAAGAGAACAGTGGCAGCAGAGATACGTTTCTAGGCCTCACCTTTGTAAAAAACACCAATGACGTACATTAGAAAAACAATGAAGTAAACCTTGGCAGGGACCACTTTATTCTTTGGATGTCAGTCATCACCGCGAAAATTTTAATAAAACTCGGACAAGTGAAAATAACGAACTGGAATGCCTTTAGACAAGACAGCGAAGAGGAACTGATTCAAACGATTTCGAAATGAGTTGAAAGGAATCACGAGGCAAACAAGAGGGCAAAAAGGGCAGTGAAAAGGACAACCGCCACTCCTGAAATCGACCGTGTCTACGCCTGTGGGAAGCTCGTTAACCATGACCAAGAGATGGGGGAGACAGAAAGGCAACAGAAAATTGAAATGCAAAATCACTGCGTTAACAGCCAAAGCAGAGCAATACGAGCAAGAGCTCTCGAAGGAATACTGGAGCGAATTTTCTGACTCGCTCAAGAGCACGCTAGAGACTGCCAAACTTGGGTGCTGCTGAGAAGCATGATCAATCCAACTAAGTCCAAAACTGGAAATAACAAGACGCTACACAAAATCGCCCACAACTTACAAGGATGCGGAGCTACTAGTTAAGATAAGGGACCTATACATCGGTTCTGTGAACATCGCTGCCTGCACGGTATCGAGGTGCCGAAAACGAAAAACTCGACCACCCCATTATGAAAAAAGGGGTGTATGAGGCAGTCGAAATGACTGTCAAGAACACAGCATTAGGAGCAAACAAGATCGGCAATGCAATAATAAAACACGTGGGGCCGGAACGTATCAAATCTATCGCGGAATTCTTGAACAAGCATTGGAAAGTGGATACCGTCCTAATGAAGTGGCGACACGCGCAAATCATCACCATGCCGAATCCAGGCAAAAGGCCGAGCTTAGAAAACCTGCAACCTGTCTAACTCACCTTGTGCTTAGGGAAACTATATGAACGAAGAATCACGATCAGGGGTCAAAACTACCTGGAAGATAACAACCTCATGCCTCACACAATGGTTAGGTTCTGTTCAAACCTACCAACGCAAGATGTCTTATTTCACCTCAAAGACGAAGTTCTCAGCAATTTTCCTAAGTACGGAGAACATGTATTACTGGCTATTGACCTAAAAGCTGGTTTTGACAACATCAGCCACAACGCCATAGTATCGACAATAACCAACCAATATTGCGGGAAAAATTCCACGGCTATGTCAAGGTTTTCCTCACTGATAGGACTTCGACCTTAGGGATGCGTGATGTGCGGTCAGACACGTTTAGGCTGCCCAACAAGGGCACGTTGCAGGGGTCCAACATTGCAATGGTCGAGCTGGCGGAGAAACGAACCGCTAAATATGGCATCCGGCATGTAATGTACTCCGATGACATCACCATACGGACGACGGAGGGCTCGCTGGGCCTCAAGAAGAAGATACTACAGACGACTGCCGAATGTGTGGAAGAGTGCGCAAAAACAAGTGGACTATCATGTTAACCTGAAAAGTCGAAAATGCTTAGGGTGCGCTGGCCCACACAAAACGATGAAGCCAACCTAACAGTCACACTGGCCGGGGTCCGCATACCGGAAGTACAGACATTAAGGTTTCTGGGAAATAAAAGTAACCAGATGGCAGACCACACACTCAGTCTGCTGTCTGGGTCAGTGGCTCATATAACGAGAATCATCACGCGCATAACCAACAGAAGATTGATTGATTGATATGTGGGGTTTAACGTCCCAAAACCACTGATGATTATGAGAGACGCCGTAATGGAGGGCTCCGGAAATTTCGACCACCTGGGGTTCTTTAACGTTCACCCAAATCTGAGTACACAGGCCTACAACATTTCCACCTCCATCGGAAACGCAGCCGCCGCAGCCTGGATTCGAACCCGCGACCTGCGGGTCAGCAGCCGAGTACCTTAGCCACTAGACCACCGCGGCGGGGCGCGCATAACCAACAGAAGAAATAGCCTCAAGGAAGATGACACCTCTCAAGGTTGTAAGAGTACTTGTGAGTCAGAACCATTTACAGCCTCCCCTACCAGCATTTGAACCAAAGATAAAGGGAACAAGTGAAGGCATTCCTGAGGAAGGCTTAAACCACAGCTAGCGTTAGTTCTGCCAAAAAGCATGGCAACCACAAACGTAACATACTTCGGCCTAACAAGTACCTATGACGAACACAGGGAGACGAAGCTTGCCTCTCAGAGGACAAGACTACACAGCACTACGACTGGATGAGCCCTCCTCCACAGATTAGGCTACCAGGATGATATACGAGGACTGGACAGCACGGTAGACATACCGGACGAGACCTCATCTAAATTCAAGGTCGCTTCTACTTTTAAGCGCATGCACGTTACGGATCACCAGGGCAGGCGCAGGGCCAGGGTGCAGAGCATTACTAAGGCCTACCAGAACAAAAGAAACGCCATCTATATTGATGCTGCTACATTCATGAACGGGAATGACGCCGTGGTGACAATCATCGGCGCTACATTAAAGAATAAGGTCAGCGCATCACTGAAGAATTCCACCGTGTTAGATGCCGAGGAGGCCACCGTCGCTCTTGTGGTCGCCGAAGGCAACATATCAGGGCAGTCGTTAGTGACAATTCCAGACTCTCAGGACCTCTCCCAGGGATACACCTATGACAGGGTAGGCCGGAAAGCTGCCGGAATCCTAAAGACCGGTTGTATGAGCAACAAAAACACCAAATACGTTGGGCCTCATGACATGAGGGTATCGCCGGGAATGTTCGGGTCAATCACGTGTCTCGATAACACTACCCGAGAGATGTCAGTGGCCGGAAGCATCAAGGTGGTCGCCTGCACTTACAGGGACATTCTGCAGCATTTTAAACAAACAAGAATGCGATATCCTTCACGCCACAACAAACTAGACATGAAGCAGTCGGCAGCTACGAACAAGTTATTACCTATGCTTAAAATTTACAGTGAAATACACCTAACGCAATACAGAGACACGTGCACTTAGTGTGGTGAGAAACCCACAGCATACCACACAACATGTGGATGCCACAGTATAATGGCAGTACCCGTCATATCCAACACCACGCCGGAGTAGTGGGAGGCTACGCTGTCCAGCCAGGAAGCGACGACCAGGTCTCGCTGGTTGAACGCGCCAGACGGGCAGCAAAGGCCACACGAGTCTTGGACGAAGGACCCATCCACAAGCGTTCTGCAGAACAGCTCTCGGCAGAACAGCTCCAGAGACAAATAATGTATATTTTTTCACTCTCCCTCACTGTCGAAACTTGAAGTTGTGATCTGGAAACCGAAAGTTTTACTGCCGTTTCTAGACCTCAACTTTAATGTAAATGAGAAGAAAAAACAGCTCAATGGTAGAGCATCAGACGTGTTATTCAAAGTTCGTAGGTTTAGTCCACTTTTCTTCTTTACACTTACATTAGAATTGCTTCTGATAACATCCGCTAAACCTCACCTGGCATTATTAGTTGTTAGTTCTCATTATTACTGGTTCTAACAAAGAAAACGAGCCCTACGATTTACATAGCGCTTCTAGTAAGCGCAGCTAGTAACGGCGATAGTGGTAATTGTTACTGCATTTGCCGTTACTAACAGTATTTTGTAAAGTTACTACCCTAGCCGTAACACCCTCAAGCACGAGCCTGGTTTGAACACACTCTGCATCAGCACCAAGCATCAGCAGCATTCTGCAGAAGCATCACAACATACTAATACAGAATGATCACCTTAAAAAATCTTTTCTGATCCCCCACGTGTGGTATATCGCAGATCCAAGAACTTACTCGATATACTAACCTCATCAAGGATTACCACCACAACTTTTTCTGGTTGTCATCCATGCAACAAACCCCGTTGCAAAGTTTGTAACCATATGACAACGACCACTTTAGTTAAGAGTACAGCATCAAACTTTCATCTAAAAATTAAAGGGGATTTTGACTGTGACACAAGCAACATTGTGTACATGCTTGAATGCTCTGTGTGCAAACACCACTACATCGTACATACTGAAACGCCTTTTAGACTGCGCTTTAATAACCATAGGTCACATGCCACAAGCCTACGCAATCTACCTTTGTCTAAGCACGTTAACATTCCTGGTCACTTATTCAATAAACTAAGAGATACTATACTGGAATCAGGTTTCCCTTCACACTAAGATAGTGAACTGCGCGAGTAATTTCTGATACACAAGTTCAACGCGATCTTATCCGGTATAAATGAAGATCCAGGCAAACTGACGTTTTTTTCGGCGCAGAACTAGTTTCATCAAAGTCTGTTCATAATCACTGTACACGCAGACTTTTACT